TTTCTGCAGATCAGTGACGTACCTGAGGCCAGCAGTGGTGATCTTAATTGACCACAAGGGAACGGAATTTGGATAGAAAATTTTTCTGTTCGATTTGAACAGAATTTGAATGAATTTGGTGTTTATATAAAAGTGCGATGATGAAAACCATTGCGTTCAACTGCAAGTTTGTCTTATATATATATATATATATCCATGCATGATTGAGATATATATCATATATCATGAACATCGCTTTGATCCAGGGACTGGTTGGTCGACGCGGCCCCGGCATAGTTTTCACGTAGATCACGAACCAAACCACGGAGCTTACCACTCTTTTGCAGCAAAGAATCCAGAAATCGCTTCAAAGTCCGGGAAGTCTGACCATGTAGGACAAAGATTGAGAAATCACACCGTCACAAAGATCTGCTAGGATTCCGGTGTGTTTAACTTATACAAGGGGTCATGCATGTTGGCCCGCCTCCACTTCCTGAGCCTCGGAGGCTTCAGCAGCTTCGTCTAGACTATCACGTTTCTCAGCCTGAATCCTAGCTGCCATGCGCTCGACGCCATCGAAGGCGTCTGGTTCCAACTCAGGAGCAGTGTCAGCCTGCAGTGCTGAATTTTGCAGACTGATAAGTGCGTTTAAGGAACCCATCATTTCAAGGTGAGAGATCATATGTGGAACCCCTGTTGGTATCGTATGTGATGGATTATGATGGCACCCCTGTTCAATTGATGCATGGAAGTGTGGGTTGAAAGACATTCTTGCAAACTGACTATATATAAACATGTGAGCCTTGCCCACTTTGCGATGGATTTCTTCCTGTTCTTTGGTCTGCTCTCGCTGACCCTTCTCCGACACCACCACAAGGTACTCTTCCGCTTTGTCATACATGTTTTTCCTCCAAATCTTGCTCGCGATATATATGAAGCATGAAAAGTCTTTGGGATATATATACTATATATCTGTGTGAGTGTGCAGACCCTACAATTCACAAACTGAAACTTTGCATGGGCTCTGTCCTGCAATGGGTTTCTTTCTTCAATTCGCAAGCTTTCTTGGCCCCTTGGATTCTAATCCTTGGCCGCGTGGTCAGTATAGGTCAGTGCTGGAGAATGCTGGGGGTAATTGAATTGTATATATACGGCCACTGCCTATAAATATATACCCGACCCTACCTATATAATGGTATATATAATCAATGGATGCCTAGGAACGAAGACCAGTTCAACTCTTCCCTCATCTCCTTCTCCGTACACCACTGTTCATCCACCCAAACCTTCTTTACGTTTTTCTTCCTCACCACAACCTCCAGCTGCTGGATGAATGCCTCCTCTGCAGGGAGAGCGGTATCACTATATAAACCCACAGAAATTTCAAATATGTTATAGAAAGCTATATAGGTTTGAATTCGTTTGGATATAATATATAACCTGTCTCGATACACAAAAGGTACTCCGACAATCGACAGTCTACCAGTCCTTAGACCAGTTCGCATCCATGAGCATTTGTGCCATCTGAGTTTGGTCCGTCTTTTTATACTGTTCCTTGACCCAGTCAGGAACGTTCAACCCAGTCTTGGTAGCATGATTCTTCATCATTCGTCGCAGCCTAGCTTTGGCAGCTTCTCGGAGGTATTCCTGCAGAGAGGCAACATAGGAGAGGACACATGCATGAACAGCGATATATAGCTGTCCTTACGCGTCATTTTCCTTTTTGGCTTCGACGGCTTCGACTGGGCGGCCACGAGAACTGCAGGTTTTTTGTTGACCTTGGGCCGAAGCTGAAAAACATTGGATCTTAAATGAATTGGGGAAAACCCATAGCATGCCTTTCACACCCATGTCATTAGGTTTCCAGCATCATCACCCACATCATGTTCGCCGGCTTGTGAAGTTGTATCGGTTTCCTCCCAAAGAGGGTTCTGAAATAATTATATAGCATGAATGGATTGATTCATTCATCACTCAACGATATGGCTTCAACCCAGGCCTCCAACTTGGGCGCTTCAGTTGGACTCTGAGAAGGCTCGGTGAAAGCGGGCTCAGTGGGACTGAGCTGCTCACTGGGTGAGGGAACCACAATGGCCGGATCACTGGGAGCAGGCTTGCAGCCAGCAGCCATCAGCTCTTCATCAGATGCCTGCATGAGGCGAAAATGATATCATTATATATATATATAGGATTTATATATAGGAATCATGGGAGATAAAAATATATAATGTTCCGATCTGTTCATGAAAAAATGATTGGCACTCCAAATAAATCACCCCAGTGCTCCACTTCCAAGCCCCGTGCGGCCAGGGTTTCAGCAAAAGCGATGCCAGTAGAGCGCTGGGAGTCGGCGGCTTCAGCAGGAGCAAAACCCGAAAGAATTTATATAAAAAATTAAGCAATGGGTATATACATATGGACTCGATCAGGGGAACGGTGTCTTATATAAATTTCAGAAGTTCAAT